AAATAAATAAATAAAAAGCTTTTTTATAGACTATGACAATAAAAAATAAAATTCTAATGAAAAAATAAATAAATTTCAATTTCTGGTACACCATTGCGTATGATTCATATTTAATCAATTTAAATTCGATATTTGGCTAATATTATTATCAGCAAATTCTTGACCCACATAAATAATTTCCATTTAAATTTAATCAAATCTAAAATACTAATAAATTCTAAAGAACATAGTCAAAATTTCATTAAATTTTGCTCTCAGTTGACAGTAAGAATAGTAGTTACAGTCACTGTAAGTAAATGAGCGCGTTTAACAGCACCTGCAAATGTTAGCATTAACAGCGTAACGTACTAAATACAGAAGTTGAGCAGCGTCTTTGCAATTTACAGTGCAGCGTAACAGCATTTTGCAATGAAGCTCACACAAAAAGAATAATAAATAAACAAATTTAAGAGAGCAAGAGCGACTGTTTACGACGCGCTTCTATTTCCTGCGCCTTTCTCTCGCTCTTCCTTTCCCTTTGACGTTGCTTTTCGCCCAGCAGCAGCGGCAGCGGCAGCAGCAGCAGCAGCATTATCGGCACACTCTTTTGGGGTGTTGGGCTTTTTGTGTGCCGAGCGCACGCCGCCGCGTTCATTGACTAAGGTCTCGAAATAGTGTTTAAAATTAAATCGATGAGTCAGACAGGTGACCGCGTCCGCTCACCCGCTGTTTACCCGCTCGCCCGATTGCGCGCCGACAGCCGACAGCCTCTTCGTTCGCCGCCTGACCTGACTAAGTACTTTCCGAGTGACTTTGCGGCGTCGTCCCGTTTAGTTGGAACAGTTTGAGCAGTTGAGCCATTGAGCAATTGAGAAGTTGAGTGCATATGGATGCGTCGATGTCTCACTGCTTTCGTTGGACCAACGCGGCGTGGCGACAACAACCTCAAGCGGTAAATTGCCGACTCTCGCAGTCGCACTTTTCGCTCACGCACACACACACACACACACGCCTATGTTCATGTGTATTTATGTATGTATGTATGTTCACACACACAAAATGCTTAGTTATTATTTGTTTATTTTATTTGCCTGACGACAGCAACAGAAGCGGCTGCAGCCGCTGCCGCTGCCGTCGCCGTCGCCGCACACTTTGAATAATTGGCAACATTTCTCTGGCCAACAAAACGATACAGGAAGTGCGAAGCAAGTCACGTACTTCAAAAACAGAACACAGCAGCAGCAGCAGCAGCAGCAACGGCAGCAGCGGCAGCAGCAGCAGCAACGGCAGCAGCGGCAGCAACGACAGCAGCTGCAGAAGCAGTGACAGCGGCAGCGGCAGCGGCAGAGGCTAAAGCTAAATGAGTGCAAGAGAGCGACAGCGTTGCCAATTTTGACATTTGTAAGTGATTGCAAAAAAAAATATAAAAATAAACAACAACAAAAAGCAACGGGAATTTTGGCATGTGTGAAAAGATTTGCGACTTGAATGATCAACTTTTGAGAATACTTCCAAGCTAACCTTGAAATAATAAAAAGAAATGAAAATAAACTGATGTGACTTAATTAATTAGTTATTTGCTTAACAGAACAGATGGCAGCACTGGCCGCAAGTGACAAAAGAAAGTCAAACTACATGCACACACATGTAAGTGTGTGAGCAGGAAGACTGCTTGCTCCCGTGGGTGTATGCGAGTGTGTGTGTGTGCGTGTGCGTGTGTGTGTATGCGTGCGTGTCTGTGCTCGCACATGATCTGCAAATGGCGCTTGAATTTCATGTTAATAGCACTCGTTGTCATCGGTCATTATCCAGCTGACAGGCGACACTACTTTCAAAAGCGATATGCAATGTATGTTTGTATGTGTGTGTAACACATGTATGTACATATGTATTTGCATTTGTGCAAAGCTGTTGATATATGATATACACACAAATATTATACAGTTGAGGAAATTTAAGTGAAATATTCGCCAATTGAAGGAAACACATAGATATATAAATATATAAATACATATGTATATGTATATGTATATGTACATACATGTATGCTTGTATAATTTTGTGAATGAGTCGAATGAGAGGGACCAGAAATGAGAGATGCCAGACAGCAGATTTACAAGGAAAAATTGCCAGTGTAACGTATTACGTAGAAATTTGGGCTCTCGAGAAGAAGAAGCATACATAAGCAGAAGCATCTTACGTACAGACAATTTGCAGGTATTTAAGGCGAATCCAAGAATTGTGTCGTGCATTAGTAGAAATTCTAGAACTAACTAATTCCTACATATCTAGGTTAAAGCTTAAAACTGTAAGTCATTCGAGTCATTCAAGTCATCAGCTTTACATTGCATGACATTTTTTTTTGTTTTTTTTTTAAATTAATTATTTAGTGCTGATTCTATTAAAGAACTTTAAGCACAGGTATTTCAAGATTGACATTGTCCTCCTTTTTTTTACACAATCTCAACAAGACTTTATTGACATAGTTTCAATACACACAGCATACTTTTTAGGTAGCATTACGAGCTTTGGCATGGTCAATGTACGAACTTAATTGAATACAAAAGAAATGGCTATTAATTAAGATAAGCAAAACCGAAAGGTAAATTGAAGAATTACCATTTAGGCTATTAAAATTGTTTACCTTGTTACGGTAAATTCCTAACGGATGGGACAACACAAGACAAATACTGACACGCACACACGCACACACACACATATATACAGTCAGACAGAGTCATGTATGTAAATAAGAATTTACTTTTCATTGAAATTCTTGGAGTTTTATCACATTTGCCTCTTTCAGTTCGTAATACATTTTTATAACTTTATTATGGCCTTTCTACCTGTATTTAATGCTCCGAGCAAATAAAGCACAACAAAAACAAAAACAAAACGAATAAAGTTAACAATAAGCAATAAACTAAGAGGAAAAGCGACAACAATTGAAACTTTGTTAGAGTCGTCTTTTTTCTTCTTCTTCCCCTTCTTCTTTTTTTTTTTGCAGCGCAGTTTGATTGAAAACTTCTTGTCGCCTTGTCGCGGCTGATTGCAACGGTAGAAGTGGGAAGAATAGAAGAAAGGGGTGTGGAATGGTTGAAACTGGTTTCTGACATCTGCGAGAGGGAGAGAGGGAGAATGAGAGGGGCAGAGGGAGAGGGAAAGGGACAGGCATAGAAGACCAAGCGATGTCTCGTGGCAATCGGTGTTAACTGATTGAGAGAAACAAGAAAGCTACACACACACAAACAAATATATTTATGTGTGTGTGTGTAAATGTGTGTACATAGTGAAAGATAAATGATAGAGCCAGAGGGAGATTGAGAGTGTGTGTGAAAGAGAGAGAGAGAGAGAGAGAGAGAGAGAGTCACACAAATGTGCATAGAACGGATCGAATCGATTGAAAATCCCCGACAGGATTGCGTAATTGCCGCTTTTCGCAGCGCTGCGCACAAATGGGGATGGTGGGGGACAAAACGGCATAGGATAAAAGAAACGGAAAAGCAACTGCAAATGCTGTGGAACCGTTCAAATCGAATTCGTCGCGAGTACCAAGGTAAACACACTCAGCGAAACGGCGAGCGAGTGGAGAGGAAAACAGTAGAAACCACTACGAACAACAGCAGCAGCAGCAACAACAACAACAACAAAAGCAGCACACGGCACACACAGACAAACAAAAAGAATGGCCCCAAAAAGAAAAAGAAGAAACAACAAAAAAAAAAGAAAAAAAACTGGTAGGACAACTTTTTGTTTCGCCTGATAGAAATCCACACACACACACACAAGTCAAGTCAAACTCGTACTCAAACTTAAAGTCAAGTTAACAAAAAATAAATAAAATTAAATACAACAACAACAACAACAACAACAACAAATCCCCCAAGCGGACTTTTTTGCTATTGCTAATGCTATTTATTGCTGACTTGACTCTGCGACTGCGCTGGCTGCAGCAGCAGCAGCGATCGCGCCTAATTTTGCATAACAGACTGTTGTTATGTTAGGTTAACAGTCGAAAATAATGGTGGGACAGCAATAACAGCGCTCAATTGGTCGCGCTGCGTCGTCACGACTTATGAGAACGCTAGAACAGTGGGAGAGAGCGGTAGTCTAGGAGAGTGAGCAGGACATGGTATACTATAAATGGGCAAAAAAAAAAAACAAAAAACAAAAAACATTGCGCAAGACGAAGTCGATCGGGTTCTGTGAACCCCACCTAACACACGTACACACATTACTTATAAAAGTTACAAAAGCAGCGACGGGGTCTTGTGATTGTTGTTGTTATTGCTTTGACTCGCTTCAATAGACAGCAGCGCACACGCATAGTCATACAACTGTGTGTGTGTATAGGTGCATGCATGTGGGTAGGTAGAAACCAGTATGGTTTTGTTGTATACAATGTATTTGTTATTTTCATTTGTTGTCTTTGTGTCTGATACCCTTTATTTAATGAATAGTGCTAAAATAGTTGGTAACTAATATATCCATAATCTTGATCAGTCTAAAGCTAAAAATTAATCGATTTTTTAATATTTAGCAATATTCTTTTGTAAAATATAATTATTTCCAATTATTTCATACGAGGTATCTGCGAGTCGAGCGCAATAAGATCGCACCTGTATCAGTTGCGTTTGTCACCATCGTAAAGTTGGCTTGATTAAAGAACGCGCGTGCGGTGCATGAAAATAAGAGAGTCCCGGTGCAAAGGGAGAGCGAGAGAGCACAAGAGCACAAATGCTCGAACCAAAGAGTAAATCAATGCAACTTAGTAAAGCAGTAACCGACGAGTACACGCATATGCACGCACACTTACACAGCCAAGACCCTTCACATGTTTGTTTACACACGCAAAGAGTTCTAGCTGTTTCTCTTTAAATGCTGCAGGATATTTTGAGGCATAAATCAATTACAAGAGCAGCTGATATACAAATGTATGTAATTGTACATGTATATACAAATGTATATATTCTATTTCCTAATTTGAAACTTCATTGAAGAGCAACGCCGTTTCGTCTCTTTTTCAATGCTGCTTTCATATTCTAATTTCTCTGGAACTCTTTCGCCATATTCAACGTTATGCATGCTGTGCTAAACATGTATTGATTATGCAATAAACAGGGTATAGCAGAAGATGAATCATTTACAATCCATATAATATTTCCGGTTTTAACAATGGGAAAAATCAAGCAAATCACATTTACTTAATTATATACATATCTCTAGCCATTCACAAATTCAAAAATTAAGTCAATATAAGATAAGGAAAATAAATGGAAGTACGATATCAACATTTCGTAACGTGGGAAATACGTTATATGTACGTATGTATGAGTATATGTGGGTATGTATGTATGTTTGCTTTACGTTCTATATTTATGTATTCCTAAATTAATATATGTATTCTCAATATGCAAATAAATATTAAGATGATGTGCTCCCTTAACAGCTCTCTTATCGGTTACGATCGGTGACTGGCAGATAGAGAGCCAACGCATGCGTATTGCTTTGTAATTAAGAGTGTAAGAGTAAACAGTTTATGAGTGTGAGTGTGAGAGTGAGATTGTGAAGTGTAGAAAGATAGAAAGAGAAATGGTGTAAATAACGCACCTGCTTCTGGTTTGCCAACAACAGCGACGTCCAATTCGCTGTTGCTGAGATTGTTCTGCAATTGCAGCAGCCCCGTGCCGCAAGTGCTTGAGCTGGTGATGTTTTTCATGCAGCCAGCTTTTTACTGTAAGTACCTATGTATATATGTATATATGTATGTACGTACGTACGTCTGTATACCGGTATGTATGTCTGTATGCAATTGTTAATGGGATGCTGATGTCACAGCAACATACACGAATGAACGAACGTTTAACTATTGCTATTTTAGCCGATGTTAACTGTTTTCACTGTTGTGTTTTACTTGCTCTTATCAGCATTGATAACGCCCCACAGCGCTTGTACGCGTTCCACTTGTTACCGTGTTTCAAATCACTTTTTCTTTTCTTTTTTCTTTTGCCGTTCGCACTTCACATTATATGTTGAGAACTAAAAAAAAAATAAAATAGAATTGCAAAGATTTATGAAATGCCAGTTCAAAGGCAATTGGAGTTGAGATTTTTGTTCATGTTCCCCTCTTTTCCTTTTTTTTTTTTAACGTACGCGCGCGCGCGCCTCTCTGCTAACTCTCTGCGTCTGCGTGAGTGTATGTGACGCGTTAACAGCATATATATGCGTATGTATGTATGTGTGTATGCGCCTTTCAACAGAAAAAAGGTGCAGCAGGCGTTGCGAGAGCAGAATTGTAAAAAAGAGCAAAAGAGCGCAAAGAATGGACGAACGCGCGACGCTTTGGTAATTTTCTGCAGTGCTCGGGGTCGCGCTTAATTGAAGCTTTTGCTTGAAGCGCAAATGTTGTTGTTGCATATATTGTTGCTGTTGTTGTTTTTGCCTGACCCACGCACAGTGGCTTTTTTTTTTATACATATGTACATATACAAATCTGTTTTGTTTTCCTCTTTGCACCAGTGCAAAAAAAGAATCAAACAGACACAGATACAGGCACGCGTATATGTGTTTGTGCATGCGTGTTTTTTTTTTCTTTTTTTTTTTAGTGGCTCCACTCTTAAAGATGTTAAACTCGTCGCACACACACAAAGTCATTTATCTTGTATTGGGGTTTACATATGTGTGTGTGTATTTATGCAAAATCAGATGTGTGCATGTATCAGCATTTAGCTACACACACATATACGCAAGGTAATTGCAATTGAATGAAATCTGGGAATATGATTTTTGTTTTTAATTTTTTGTTTGCCGTTTTTTTTTTTTTAGCTGCTGGGTCGCGTGGGCGCACTTGTATTGCATTTAGTTTTGTTTCTTAAGAAGCAGTGCATATGTATATGTATGAACAACATGGCCAGCAACACACGCGCAGCGCCTAAATTTATCTGAATGAGTTCACAAACACACACACACACACATAGCAAACATTGTAACAGATAAAAACATTGATACAGCATTCATAAAATTAAAATCTCTTTTAAGTTTCTGTATGTTTTAAGTTAACACATTAAATACACAAATCAGCGCAAAAAACAACAGCAACATAAATGTATGTGTACATATGCATATATGTATATATAAAATTAACATGAAAAAAACACGGCAAAAATAAATAAAACAATTACATATCTACATACAATAAAAGATTTATAAATGTGTGTGCATACACACACACACACACACGCACGCACGCAAAACAATCGCACAGAGTCCCGCACGTCGAGCTTGCGAAGAGTGTGTGTGTGGGGGGTGAGCAGAGAGAGAGTGTATGACGAGACGAGGCGAGGCGATCACGCAGACGCGGCAACGATGACGACAACGAAAAAATCGCGGAAACACTGCGAAACACGCAACGCGCAGAAGCGAGAGAAACTCATCGACTGAATCTGAATCAATACAAAGAACGACAGTAGCTCGCTCGCTGCTGGCCCGACTGACTCTAGCAACACACAACACGGCTCCGTGTCTGGGCTCTGTTGCTGCTGCCTGTTTGACTGGCTAGCTGGCTGACTGGCTGGCTGGCTGGCTGTGTATTTAGTTTGCGCTAACACAGAAACGATGACAACTACAACCGCACAGCAATATGATCAAGCCCCAAGCCGAATATACACAACATCTCACCAATACCAGCAACAGCGAAACGTGCACAAATACACACACGACGCTCTCTTCATTCTTCTTCGTGCGGGCCTGCTGTTGATGGCATATACATACATACATACATATACGTGTGACTAATACAGCGTGTAGTGCCGAATCGAAACCGAACCCAGCCGAACACTGAGCCGAGTTGAGCTGCGCTGTTGCCTTTTGCCGCTCATTTACTTTGCACTCGATTTCGCTCACTTGTTGTTGTWGGCGCGATCAGGGCATAGAAGAACAACAACAACACAGCAGACACGCTGCGATTGCCTCTACGTCTGTTTGGGCGAGTGTGTGCGTAGATGTGTATTTATGTTTGTGTTTGTAAAGAAAAGCAAAGTACCAGACATCGTCGTCAGTGGCGCTGTGGGGACGGGGTAGCAGCATTTTGCATCTGTACCCAAAACAGGCTAAAAAGAGTCCACTAAAGCAGGTAGGCCAACAACAGAAACATGTATGCGCATGCATACATACATACATACATACACATTTACCTACATATATACACACATACATACATACATGCAATACAGGCTTATTCCAGAATATGGGGCAGGCTTTGATTCGGGTAACACTCTGTTACACGCATTTATAGGATTTACAGATTTTATAATTTATAATCTGTTAAGCTTAACATAATCCGTACTGTTGCACGTTTTCCATGTTAAAATGGAATATAGCTCGAAGTTTTATTACGTGAAAATTTGACTAAAAATCATACACAATATACATATATAAATAAAATAAAAGCGTTAATTAACGATCATTTCGCAAATAAATGAATACATGGGTAAATTTTATGACTGGGATAAATTCAAATGAAGTGGTAATCATTTGTTAAAATACAATAGAATTAAATGCTGATGCTGGAGAACTTTTTTATAGACAACTAAATATATTCATACAAACATACATACATAATATGTACAAAACTACAAACACACACAAACGCATACATACAGGCAAAGTTAGCAAGCAAGTTTAACAACTACCAGATATACATACATATGCATGTGCTTGTGTGTCTGCATGTGTATGCGTTTTTCTATGTCTGTTTATTTGTCTGTATTGCGGCTACTCTCAGACGACACTCACATGTGCTGTGTGCTTTACTTTGTTGTTGTTGCTGCTGCTGCACTGCTGCACGTCGCGACGTCAGCTGTGGAAAGAGAGAGGCTGCTTAATGCAGGTGGCGGTCGGTGGATGGTGAAAGAGCAGAAGGAGTTGACTTCGCTGCCGCTGTTGCTATTGTTGTTGTTGCTGTTGCTGCTGCTGTGCTGGGCAGTTGCTTGGTTAACTGATGATGCAGCAAATAAGCGGATAAGGCGTCTGATCTTGTCGCTCATTGTTAGAAAGGAACAAGTTTTTCTTTCTTCTTTTCAATATAATCGTTTACCCATTTTCCTAAGCAGCGCCAGCGTTCAACTTTGCATTCGTATCTGTGTGTGTGTGAGTCTTCGTGAAAGAATAAGAGCGACAGTGAGAGAGAGAGAGTAGAAAAGAGAGTGGCAGTCCCAGTTGGACAGAGAGCACATATGCTGGGCGTAACAACGGCTCTCTTTTGGAGCTCAAATAAAAAAAGAAGAAACAAAAAAAGCTTACGCGCCTGTTGCTTGTGCTGGAATGAGATCGCTGCTAAGCTGTGCGCGCTCTTAACAGCAACTCTGTTAAATTAACAGACATTTTTGAAATATTTTCACCATGAGTGTACAGCAGCGGCCAGTAGCAGCAACAGCAGCCGCAACGGCAACAACAACAATAGCAACAACATTAGCAGCAGCAGCAGCTACTGCGCGCCAATTGCTGACGTTGAGTTGCTGTTGTTTACACGCACACACACACACTTACACTTAGGTTTGTACATTTCTGTACGTAAACCTTTATATATGTTTGTATGTATATACATTTCATTAGTACTGGTAAGGTGACTTATTTATTTTTGTCAAAGCTCACACCTGTTTGCGTGTGTTTGTATTTAAGTGTATGTGTGTGTTTGTGCGTGTGTGTTTGTGTTTGTTAGCCACTAAATGGTCAATAACAGTTCCAGCTCTTTTTTTTTACCAAATTTCTATTCTCAGCGTAACTGGTTTTAGCTTGATTACATTCACACATACATACATATGCATGTATATGTATGAATTTATGTTTTTATGCATTTATCTCGCTTGAAAGCTCGTATTGTTTTGTTAAGCTGCTATCGATAATAATTTGCAGCTATCGATTAATTTGATATATGTTGAGTTCTATGGGATTTGGCTTACATATGTATATGTACATACATATATACATATGTAATTAGCATAACTGGACGGATTAAGGCATCTGTACGTAAATATGTATGAAAATATGAATATACTGACATACATACATATATGTTTATGTATGTATGAATTATCGTTTTCAATTTTAAAGTTTTAAAATTCGAAATTTTACTATTGAAAATTGGTTTTTCTTTCTATATACTTTCAATTTAAAGAAATGTCTTCTCAAGATTTTCGTTTCAGTGCAACTCTTAAACTTATTAATATTTAGATGTAACTCTAGCAATTAAGTTCATTCATTTGATAATAAAACTGTAATAAAATATTAGCATTTAAAAAAATGTTGCGCATTATGTGATATGATTATAATAATAAAGTTACATATATTGTGAGACCAGTCATCGATGAAACTAAAGGAACTATATTTTGATTGGTTATTTATTACCAATATTATAAAATAAATA